AAGTTAGTAAGTCAACCTTGAGTTGATTATTATCTTCCAGTTCTCATCAGTGGATGAATTTGGGTCAGTTGTTATTACTCAGCTATTGGCTAAGATGCAGCGGTACCCCCACTGCATTGACAGACTAGACTCATTCATGCTAGTTTATGCATGTATCGAACCTATGGCTTCAATATAGAACATCTACTTAGACAGCTGCTTCTGCCCCACAAAACTTCTCTGCAAATGCTTTACCAGTCATCATGTATAACTTCCCATTAATAAAGGTAAAATATTCATTCTAATGCACTGATTTAGCATCTCACTTGACTGTAGGTATGCAAGCCAACACACCATGTTACACACCTGTGGTCTGAGGGGCAGCAGCAGCCCCCAAGACTCCACTTCCAGCCATTTCTTGTCTATCTTCAGCTGTCCCTATCAAATACAGGTATAAAGAGGCCACACATATTTTAAAGAGCAAAAAAGAGTGAAGTGATTTTTTCATTCTTCCTGGGCTAGTAGCAGATGTCTCACTCTCAGTTAAAGTCAATGGTTCATTCGGTCTAGTTCAGTGAGTGTAGCTGCCAGGCTCTGGACTGAGTGCTGGATTCAACTCAAGTCAATCACTGACTTCCTCCTTCAATACAATGATTCCCGCTCATTTATTGTTTGTCCCGCTTCCTATGTTTTGGGGTTAGCGTGGGCAGTTTGAGTGGGAAAAATTGGGGAACGTTTTCATGAGCAGTGAGCACTCAGTTCATTCTTCAGGCTGACCAGGTACCTACTAGACACTAAAATAAGGATTCATACTCTGGGGGCCATGGATTTAGAAAGACATCCTGACAATCCATCCAATAGTTGTTGAGATGTTTCAGTCTGGAGGACCGACTGATCCACATTGTCAACCCTAGAGCCATGCTGCTAAAAATGTAGATCTCAGAACAGCCTGAGATCAGTTGTTGCTATGGAGATGTTCTGGGTTTTATCTGTGTAGATGACAGGTACTTTTCTTGGGGTGGGGTTTTCTTCTTATTCCCCTGAAGATATCATGACATGTAGACTGCAGGAATGCACAGTATGCATCAGGCTGTTCAGATTAAACTGAGTCCACAGAGCAGAGCCTCACCAAATATAGCATGGATGTTTTTCTAGCACTCAGGAAGAAGACCCCTGTGAATCTGAAATGACATTTATCCTAATCTGACATGGCATTTGCCCTAAACAAACCCTGAAGCTGAATGTCATCACATTAGCCAGAAATAACACCATAATAGGCCCTTTGGAGCCAGTTCACAGTGTGCCTTATACTGTGGTCCAAACCTGGCACCGTTCAGAGCGTCATTTTGCATCCTGGCCTCTCATCCATACAGATAATCCACACACCGCTGTTTCTGTGGCAGAGAGTTGGGCGTCCATTTGCATGCAGGCGGTTGCAGTCGGAGGCCCATCTGTCCGCTGGAGCACTTTCTAATTTATGTTAGTTGTTGTTGTCATCGTTGTCAACACACGGCAGCCCCCCCACCACCGACCACCCCTCATCATTCCCCACCCCCGTAACACACACACACTCCCTCCCCCTCAATAGAAGTGACAGTGGAGAAGCTCTGGAACTAAAAGAGCAATCCATCATCTGAGTAAAGCGCCAGTCTGACAGCACACACACTGTTAGACTGAGCAGAGTGAAACTATGAGCCTGAGGTGATTCTTTACAAATACATGTACATTGAAAATATATACATATTCATAAATGCCTTCTACAAACAATTATTATCTTACCGTATAATTCATATTGAAAACGAGTTCTACACTTAGGAAATTCCATATGCAACTTTTTCTGGAAAGGTTCTTCTTTATATTAAGAATTATTCACTTAAAACAACCTCAGACAAATTGACCCTTCCTATGTCCCGCCCCTTTTTGCTTTGTGCTCCAATAACAGTTGAGCAAGCCTCATTCAGAACCTTTCCTGTACACAAATATGCTATGTGCTAGGCTAATCTCTGATAAAAGCGACATATATAGTCACATCTTAAAGGTCCAGTGTGTGACATTTAGGAGGCTAAAATGAGATGTTTTTAACATTCACTAACTAGCTAGCTAATCTGTCTTAATCGTTACATAGCTAGTTATCTAGTGTTTTGCTAACATTAGCTAACTTAAAGGTCCAGTGTTTAGGATTTAGTAGCATCTAGCGGTGTAGTTGCAGATTGCAACTCACTCGCTTCACCCCTCCCTTTCCGAGTGC